TTTCAGCTTTGAGTGATGAGAGCTGAAACGGTCAAGGAGAAAGTGCCTCAGGTGCCACAGGGCTGACTCTGCCACATTCCCCCCCTGGGCCTTTCCCTCCCAGTTCCTCCCCTTCATCACAGCAGGGTTTCCCCATGTGAGCAGCACAGCTGTGTTGCTCAGCTCCCACCACACAGGTTCTCCTTGGAGTAAAACTCCCAGATTCCTGAGGAGGGTTTTGGATGGGGCTGCAGGTGCAGCACATGGGCTGATGTGTTCAGTGGGGGATGGAGGGCTGGACACCAGCATCGTGGTGGAGTGAGGACACCTCTGAGAGAGACAAGTCAGACCCTGAGATGCTCCCCGCAGGAGCCTGTCTGTGAGACCCATGTATCAGATGGAGCATAGAGGGCATCCAAAGGAAATAGCCATGGTCCCCAGTGCAATCTGGCTATAACCCCCCCTCCAGATGGCAGAGGGCGAGAGGGTAGACGTGACCTTCAGGCCATGGAGTGGCTAAAACCTTGGACAGGTGCAGAGACGCCGAGGCACTACAGAGGGGTTGGTGGCCATGGGTACGGGAGGCAGGGAGCCACCTGACTGAACTGACAGACCAGGAATGTGGGGAAAGCAAACACTGGAGACACAAGGCGACCAGAAACCAAAGATAGAACGTCTGGAGAGAGTCCTCGTAGGTCAACAATCACCTTCATGGACAGGGACTGAACTTGAGACCAAAAGGCACAGAGAAGATGAATAGGTTAAAGCAGAACCCAATACGCTGCCTGTAGGAGACCCAACTCACATCCAAAGACACACAGACGCTCACAGTGAAGGGGGAGATGAAACAGTCTCCCTTTAAAATGAGCAGCCCTGGCCCAGAAGATCCCGGGTTGGAGCCTCCTCTGGTCACCAAAAGGCTGAGGATTCTATTCCTGCTGGTGGGGTTGGACAAGAGGCAACAGATTCCGGTATTTCTCTCATGTCTATGTCTCCCATTCCCTCTCACTCTCCCTCTGTCTCACTTTCTCCCTTCTTCTGTCTCTAAAATCAACAAACATATTATCCTCAGGTGAGCATTGAAAAACAAGGGACAGAGCAATCAGAACAGACACAGATGACTAACAAAGGACCTCCAGATGGCTTAGAGATGCCTAATAGACATGAAAAACTGCTCAATGTGACTCTAACACACATGCAAATTAAAACCACAATGAGGTATCATGTCATTTCTGTCAGAAAATCTACCTTCAATAAAGCCACAAACCAGTGCTGGCCAGAATTTGGGGAAAGGAACCCTTGTACACTGTGGGTGGGAATGCAGACTGGTGCAGCCCCTGTGGAAAACAGTGTGCAGTTCCCTCAGAATAATGAGTATGGAACCGTCTGTTCGCCCAGCGATCCTACTTCTGGGGATTTACCTGAAAGAATCTAAAACACGTACTTGAAAGAATAGACGCACCCCTCTGTCCATTGCATTGGTGTTTACAACAGCCAAGCTGTGGAAGCAGCCCAGGTGCCTGTCAGCGGGTGAGTGGGTAAAGAAGCTGTGGTGCATTCGCACACTGGGACACTACGAGGTGGTAAAAAAGAATGAAATCCTGCCTTTTGTGACGGCATGGATGTACCAAAGGGTATTATGCTAAGAGAAATAAGTCACATGGGAAAAGATAAAAGTCGTATGATTTCACGATCATAAAACAGAGAGCAATAAACAAATTGACAAAGTAAACAAAAAGGGCCTCGCAGTCACATCCAATGCTGTCTGTGGTCACCAGAAGGGAAGGGAGTGTCCGGGGGAGAGGAGAGAAGAGGGGGTCACAGATGCGGTGATGGAAGGAGACTAGAGGTCAGGTGGAGAGCATTTTTATTTCTTAGTGAGGGGCCACAGCTGGATACTGTATAGAAACCTTAGATGTCCCACTTGCAGGACACTTCCTAAGGAACCAAATGACTGTCAGAGTCATGTTGAGTGTGATGAGGGGACAGTAAAGTGTGGGTGGAAATAGGAACATAAATGGTTAAAAGTGCGACCTGAGAAATTCTAAGTTGGAACTCCATAGTTTATATCTTCTGGTGTACAGTTTAATGAGAGTATGCATGGCCCCCACAGGTGTTTGGTGTATGTTGTGTTCGATAAACATTTTCTCTTGAAGTAAAGATGTACACACCTGTGTATGCCCACCAGGCTCACAAAAAGAACACCAAGGGGCCCAAAGGGAGCTGCACAAGGACGAGCTCCAGTGACGAGTGTTTTGACCGTATACAACTTGAAGGCATTCCATCACATTTTGGTTAATGTCTGCACGCTCTGGTTGCAAACTGCATAGTGAGTAATCCTTCTTAGGCGTGCTCTGTTCATAGGATGTACCCCAACCCTCACAGATGAATGAAGAGCCGTGACTTCCATGTGACAACAATTTTGATGCACATCAATCTGTGAGTCACACGGTGTCTTTGGGGGCAGAGACTGAAAACTAATGACATTCTAGACAGGCACTGTCTGATACAGAAGCTACAAGATAGTTTATGGCTTTTAAATTAAAAATAAGTAAAGGTTGCCCTGGCTGGTGTAGCTCAGTGGCATTAAGTGTGGGCCTGTGAACCAAACAATTGAGGTTCAATTCCCAGTCAGGGCACAGCCTGGGCCCCAGGGGTCATGAGGGGCAACCATACATTGATATTTCTCTCCCTCTCCCCTTCCCTTCCCCTCTAAAGATAAATAAATAAAGTCTTTTTTTAAAAAGTGAGTAAAAGTTCAACTGCTCCACACCCAGCTCACACTTCAAGTGCTCAACGTCCACCTACAGCCAGTGGCTGCCATGTTAGATGTGCAGACACAGAACAATCCCTTGGTCCAGAACATTCTATTGGACAGAACTGAGCAGTATGTTGTCTGGACCTCCAGTCACAGCACTAGACCCATAAAAAATGAAGGGTTCAATATCATCTCTGTGACAGATGACACCAGATTTCTGTCTGGGACATGAATACATATCAAGCTGCTGTACAGCAAACAAAACGAGGTTTCCTGTGGGTCTGGTGCCTTCAGACACAAACTGTACTCAGTTCAAACAGGAAACAGCTGTCCCCCCATCTCCCTCCCAGACTGAAGACACTCTCTGACATCTCATTTCCAGGGGGTGAGCTTTCTTCTAGAAGAATCCAGAGGCAATGCCTTCAGCAGAGTGTGGGGAGGCAGGGCTCCCACCTCAGGGAGGCGCGTTCTAGGAAGGGAGGAGGGTGCAAAAGACGGGACCAGTGGGGAGACAGTACTTGCTGTCTGGATGGAACGGAAGCTCTCAGAGGAAACCCAGGGTTTTGCAAAGGTGTGTCTCCCCACAGCAACCAGACAGCTTCCCAGAGCTGACGGCCGTTTCCAGTGGGGTCTGTGGTAACGTTAACAAGTGTGATGTTTGATGATGTGTCATTAAATGCACCAACACTGGGAGATCTCTATCATTTAGTGAAACAATGTGTTACTTTCAATAATCCTGCATCAGTACAAGAGCCACTGAAGTCATGTAACAGAGTGGGAAACACTCAATGGTGTAGTTTCAGGTTCCTCTTTGCAAAGAACTTTTCAGGAACTGCCACTTGTGTAGCTTTAGTGAATGATCAAAGCTGAATACCCACACTTATCTGAAAAGGTTATTAAAGTGCTCCTCCTACATATCTGTGTGAGGCTGTATGTTTATTCATGTACTGCAACCCAAGGACAGATTAAACACAGCAGCAAATGTGAAAATCCAGCAGACTTTTAGTCATACGGACAAGAACCGAGACTTGCAAAAATGTAAAACATAAACAGATCTACTCTCTCACTGCCTAGTGTATGTGGAAGTTGCTATTTTTCACAAAAACATTATTTCTGTTAACTGCAATAACTATTAATACTATTCTGAATGAATTAATAATTCTCAAACTTTCATTCTTTGTAAGGTAAATATTCATAGCAGGAACCCACATAAAGGAAATTATTTTGGTGGCCGTCCCTATATTGTGAGACTGCGTAGATGTTCTGGAGCCAAAGTAGTTGGGCATGAACGAATGAACAGCGCGGGGCCCGGACTGGGGAGACCCGCGCGGGTCAGAGTCCCCGGTGCAGGAGGAAGGGTCGGGGCGGAGTCCCGGCCTCCGCGTCTGCAGCAGCTGCTATAAAATAGTCACTGAGACCGAACTCATTCTTTCCGCACGATTAACGTGTGAGCCATGGTCTCCGGACTCGACTTCCTGCTGCTCTCCGGGGCCGTGGCCTTGTCCGAGACCTGGGTCGGTGAGTCGGGGGTCGGGAGGGAACGGCCTCTGCGGGGCTGGAGCGAGCGGGCCCTGCGGGGGCGCAGGACCCGGGGACAGCGCGTCTCCACTGCTCCCGGCCCAGACCCCCGGACCACCGACCCCAGACGCCCATCTCGGCCCTCCTCCCCTCCGCCCAACCACCGCCCCCTTTTCCATCCCCAGGGCCCCCTGCCCTCACCAGTACGACCGCAGACCCAGGACGCGACCGCAGACCCAGGACGCGCGTCCTCCGCGCCCCCGGGGCCCCACAGGCTGAGAATCTTTACCAGCTCCGTGTCCGAACCCGGCACCTGGACGTCCCGGTACTTCGGCGTCTGCTACGTGGACGACACGGAGGTTGCGCATTTCAACAGCGATGCTGCGAGTTCCAGTCTGAAGCTGCCGTTAAAGATTTCAGATGACGGGCTGAGGGTCAACCTCACTCGGAAAATCGAACAATATGAGCAGATGAGCAGAGCGAACCTGAACAAGCTGCGCGCCCAGGACCACCAGAGCGAGGACGGTGAGCATCGCGCGCCCGGGTCCGCGCGCCACCCCCATCCCCACGGACTCGCCGGGGTCCCCCAGGACGTCGGGACCCGCCGGGCCCCATGGTCAGAGGACCCTGCGAGGACTGTGCCCAGTTTCATTTTCACGTTAGGTTCACTCACCGCGTGTGGGGTCCGCACGGGTTGGGGCGGGGACACGCCTGTTCTCTCTCGTAACTGGGGACCCGCCTTGGGCGGGGTCAGGGCCCCACACCCTCCAGGAAATGACCGGCTGCCTGGTGGGATCGGACGGGCGCCTCCTCCGCGGGTACAGTCAGTTCGCCTACAATGGCACCGACTACGTCTACCTGAACGAGGACCTGCGCTCCTGGACCTTGGTGGACGTGAGGGACACGAAGACTGGAACAAGCCCCAGACACAGATTAGTGCACCTCCCTGCTGCTGAGGGACAGAGGATCACCCTGGAGGACACGTGCGTGTACTGGCTCCGCCTGCTCCTGGAGAAGGGGAAGGAGACGCTGCTCCCAGCAGGTAACAGGGAGCAGGCCTCCCCGAGGAGGGGATCTGCGGGCTGGGGCGGCTTCCTACAAGGAGAGGAGGGAAATGGGGCAGTGCCAGACTGTCCCTCCTGCTCAAGAGAGGGAAGAGTCCCCCAGGTTTCCTCATTCTGTGACTCACCCGCGGGCCCAGCTTTCTCTAAAGGACAGTAAGGGATCCAGCCTCTCCCTGAAACACCCACAGCGGTTCCCTCACGCCCTGCAGCACCTGGGGCACCAGGATGCTCTCCCTGGTTTTGGGGCTGAGACATGCTCTGGAGGCTGGACTCTGACTTTTCTGAGTCATCAGCCTCCACCTGAGTCTGTTTCTCCTATTAGAGAACTGGACACTCCTACCCCAGGTTCTCACCCTGATTCTGGAACTTTTCAAGAAATAGATTATCCCAGGTGTCTCTGTCCAGGCTGGTGTCTGGGTGGTGCACTCCCTTCCCCCACCCCCACTGTCCTGTCCACTCTCAGGGTGGTCACATGAGCACTGCTGGAGTGTCCCATGACCATGCAAAGTCCCTGAATTTTCTCACCCTCCCCTCAGACGCTCCAAAGACACACGTGACCCACCACCGCATCTCTGATCATGAGGTCACTCTGAGGTGCTGGGCCCTGGGCTTCTACCCTGCTCACATCACCCTGACCTGGCAGCGTGAAGGGGAGGAACTGATCCAGGACATGGAGCTGGTGGAGACCAGGCCTTTGGGGGATGGAACCTTCCAGAAGTGGGCAGCTGTGGCCGTGCCCCCTGGAGAGGAGCAGAGATACACGTGCCATGTGCAGCACCAGGGGCTGCCTGAGCCCCTGACCCTGAGATGGGGTGAGGAGGGGATGTGGGCACAGAGCCTCTCTCTCCTCAGGGTGTCCCTGAGCAGGGTCAGGACTCAGGCCTGAGGTTGACCTCTCACCTTCCCCTTGCAGACCCCCCTCCTCAGACCACCATCACCATCATGGGCATTGTGGGCATGGCTGCTGCCCTGGGTCTCCTTGGAGCTGTGGCTGCTGGAGCTGTGATGTGGAGGAGGAAGTGCTCAGGTGGGCAAGGGGTGGGGCTGAGTTCCCTGTGCCCCTGGGGGTCAAGCCCAGGTGGAAGTGTGCTCTGCCTCCTTAATGGGCATCGTGTCCCCACACAGGTGCTTGTCCATCTGGGGCCTATTTCCTAACGCGGACTCTTTAGTGAGGCCCGTGGGAAAGTGAGGGACACATTTATCACCTGATGATTCTAGTGATGGGGACTGATTCCCAGCTGTTCACAGGTCAGAGGGGAAGGTCCCTGCTGAGGACAGGCATACAAAAGGGTGGGTGGTCCAGTCCTGGCACATGGACTCTCCCTGTATTTCCTGATCCTACCCTGGGTGTTCAGTCACAGTTCTGGAACCTTCCCTGTGCTTCAGGAGTGTGGGGCTCCTTTATGGTCACGAGACCCAGCCTCCCCCCTGACTTCTCACAGAATGTTTTCTTCCCACAGGCAGAGGCAGGAAGAGCTACTCTCAGGCTGCCTGTAAGTCTGGGTGTTGGGGAGGTGACATTGGAACCCTTGGGAGAGTGTGGGCTGGAGTCTGTGAGGGGGGCTCCCCCACCCCGTAACTCTGCTGTTGTCTTCCCCAGACAGTGACAGTGCCCGAAGCTCTCATGTGTGTCTCACAGCTCCTGATGGTGAGACCCTGAGGGCAGGAGGTGGGGGGCACCGAGACCGAGGGGCACTAATGGGTTTGGGGATTCTCAGGGAGGGACATTCTGAGCCTGTGGTGGGATGTGGGAGTTGTGACACTTCTGAGACTGACCTGAATTTGTGCATGACAACTTTCTTTCCCAGTGTGACAGAGCTGCCTTGTCTGGGTTTCGTACTAAAACAGTCACTTTAGCCTCCCTTTGGGGCTTTAAGGGACCCTGACTGCGGTTTCTGCAACAAGTACTGGAATGTGTCTGTGTTCTCATCATCATCGTGTCAGGAGGTGGTCCCCAGGCCACCCTCCTCAGAGGGACCTGCATCCTCTCCCCTGGGGATGGTTCTGTCCTCCCAGAGTTGGGGTGAGGCCATCCCCATTCTCATCATTCCTTGCCTGGGTCATGTTTGTTACTCCTTTGTCCTTGCTGCTCCAGAAGAATCTTGTCCTTCCACTTGGAGAGAACCTTGTTTCACCAGGACCTGGGATCGGAGCAATTTGAATGTCACCCAGGCCTTGTGGTGGCTCCAGGACTGTGTTCAGTGAGGGCTTCATGGGGCGGGGCTTCAGGACTGGGTCTGCCCACAGCCTATATCTTTATGGTGTTTTATTGTTTGTTTCTGTAGATACTGTACCTGTCTTGTTTTCTTAATAAATTATTAGAGTATTTTTATTAAATTATTGGGGTGTGTTCTTATTAAATGTATTGGGGTGCACTGGTTAAGAGGTTCCTGTAGGTTTCAGGTGCACATTTCTATGATACAGAGTCTGTACATTGCACTGTGTGCTCACCACCCAAAGTCAAACCATCTTCCCTCACCAGGTACAAGGTCCCTCCTCCCCCACCCCCTTCCCTCTGGGAACCACCACACTGCTGTCTGTGTCCCTGAGTTTCAGGTTTATGTCCCATGTGTGAGTGTAATCATATGGTTCTTAGATTTTTCTCACTGACTTATTTCACTTAGCATGACATTCCCAAGGTCCATCCAAGTTGTTGCAAAGGGCAATATTTCATCATTTCTGAGGGCTGAGTACCTGCTCCCCAGGGAATTTGGGACATTTCCCCTGTCTCCTGCCCTCTGCTCCTGAGGGACATCTCAGTAATGACCATTTCTGTCCCTACTGTCCACACCTGCCTGAGTGTGCCTGCCATCCTGTGGTCATGTCCTGTGTCACGTCCATTGTCCTCACAGTCTGTCCCCAGAGTCTCCCTGGTGCTTCACCTGCACAGACACCACCAGAGGCTGCAGCACATTCACACCCTGCAGCCACCACCAATGCCCTCCAGTGACCAGAGCCATTCACACCATCCTGATGCTGGTGGACACCTGTGTCACCTCCTACGTGTTCAATTCCATTTTGACTTTTTACGTCATTGTGTGAGAGGACACCCATCTCTGGTGGGTGCAGACCTCCCCTAGTTGGCTTCCTGTTCTCCTGCTCTTCGCCCCTCACTGCGGATGCTCAGGGATCCTAGAGCTCCTGGGGTCATGGACTGTTGGAAGTGACTCTTGACAATCTAATCTGTGGATGTCACTGTTTATAATATTTTTGATTACAGTGTTTAGTGGTCCTTCACTGAGTGACAATGTTGTACATAATATCACTGTGAACTTTATTTTTAAATTAAAATATAACTGACACACAACCTCGTGTAAGTGGAAGGTGTCCAGCATGTTTATTTGATGCACTTACATCACTCATTCACCGCCTAACAGTGGTGATCCACCCTGAGACACACGTGGGAGTGTGATGTTGTGGTTGTGGGAACAGCACAGAGGCTCTCACACCTGGACAGTCTCCCTACTGCTCACCCAGACTGCAGGGCTCAGCCTGTGCTCCTGGGCTGCAAGTCTGCACAGCACATTGTTGTACAAAACACATGAGATTAAATCCACACAGGAGAAAATGAAACCTTCAAGAGACCCAGTAAAGGGGAAGTGTGGGATCTCCTGCAGTCAAACAGACCAAGCCTTTCTACCCCAAAGGCTCTTCTTTTTAACCTCACCCTGAAAATGCAGTTATTGATCTGAGAGTGGGAGAGACTGAGAGAGAGAGACATAGGTCGGTGATCTTTACTTCCCTTGCTGAAAACTCTCATTAGCATGATATTGGGTTTTAGGGTGCAGAGGTGACCAAACAACTTTACTTTAGTAACAATTTCTCATGTATAAAATCAACATTTTAAATTTTTACAGGGAACGTACATTCATCATATAAATCGCATATTATATATCTACACAAAATTGATTTTAAAAGGTATGTTGACATGTATAAAAGGGAAGGCAGGTGGGGAGGAAAGTGAAGAGCTCAGCCCAGGGCTGACAGTGCTGGGCTCCATGTCTGGGCTCTGGGCAATGAACTTGCACACCCTCCCGCACTGCTCACTCAGGGCGCTGCCCTCTGTGGAGGCCAAGCAGGGTCTTCCCCTTCTTCTGGGGTGTGGTCATTCATATCTCATCAACTCTCTGTTGATTTTAAGAAGTTGGTTTTTGTTTTACACATGGCATTTTTACTTAGTTTCAGGGGGAAGATTTGCCTGCACCATCTAGCCCCCCTTGTCAGGAATGGGATTTCTGAGGCAAACAGCTGGTCCTAGAGGACAGGGCCACAATCTGATCTCACAACACGATCTGAGGATGGTCTGTCGGAGATTTATAAGTGAAGGGATTTTATGTAACTTGTTCTTTCAAAACATTATTCATGCACATATAAGAGAACACAAAAGATTCTCAAGAATACACAAAATTAAATGAATCACATTGCCCCCCTGCCCCCTCATTCACCTAAGTCCTCTCCCAGGAAACCATCCCAGTGAGGCACTTCTGATTGCTCCTCCCAGGAAGATCTACCTGTACATTGATGTTGGTGTTATGTCTGTAAAAAGAGCTCAGGCCACAGACTGGGGGAAAATGTTTGCAAATCACTTGTTTATGAATACCTCAATAAGAATCCTCAAACTCAGCGAGAAGAAAACAACAACTCAATACAAAGTGATCAATATTCTAGACAGACACTGCACCAAAGAATCCATGTCAGCCCCAGGCGGGTGGCTCGGTGGGTTGGAGTGTTGTCCTGTGTACCAATAGGTGTGGGTTTGACCCCTGGTCAGGGCCCAGAGGTACGTCTTGTGTACGATCCCTGGGCCGGGCATTCATGGGAGGCAAAAATCAGTATTTCTCCCTCACATCAGAGTGTTTCTCTCTCAGCCCAGTTCTCTGACCCACCAAACTGCTCATGACTCAGTTGTCCTAACTCACTTGGTAGCCTGAGGCTTAATTGAAACCCTCTCCCACCTCCCGCAATAGACACCTGATACCAGCTCTAGTGGCCGGTGCTCAGACTGACCCTCCTGCACCTGGGAACAGCCCGGCTCTTTACCTAATCCATTTCCCCAGCTCACATCCAGGAACTCTGAGGCAACAGCCAAGAAGAACAAGAGACTAACCCCTCTCCTATCCCCCTACAAACCCCCGTGCTTTAAAAAGAAAAAATCATTCTTGCCTTCCCTCTGCAGGCTGCAGTCTGGTCCTACTCAGCCCACCTGTAAACATGGCATCAAACAAAGATGCTTGGATCAGATCATCTGGCTCCTTCCACCTGTACCGCTTGCACATTTCTAAGAGTCTCCGTGTAGATCCCAGGGCAGTGCCTGAGATACCTGAGCCTCCCCGTGTTCACAGTTACCATCATTCTGTTGGTTGGAGCATATATATTTATGGACATATGTGATTATCTTCTTAGGACAAATTCCTACAGGAGGAATTTCCAGGTCAAAATGTCAGGACATTTACTGGCCAAGATGGAGGCATAGGTAGACACACTGTGCCTCCTCAAACAACCAAAAGAAGGACAACAATTTAAAGACAAAAACAACCAGAACCAACAGAAAATTGAACTGGATGGAAGTCCAACAACCAAGGAGGTAAAGAAGAAACACTCATCCAGACCAGTAGGAGGGGTGGAGACAGGCAGCCAAGCGGAGAGGACTCGCAGCAAAGCTGTACCTGGAGAACCCAGGAAGGCAGCGACTGGTGGAGCAGGTGGTTCCACATTCACGTGCAGATAAACCATGAAGAACAGCTGGGGAGAGAGACAGACCACCCAACCCAGGGCCCCAATGAGAAGAAATAAAGCCTCAAACCTCTAACTGAAAACAATGCCAGGTGGGCATTGAGGCGGCAGCAGGAGAAACTCCCAGCCTCACTGGAGAGTTCGTTGGAGAGACCCACAGATCATACACAAACCCACCCACCTGGGAGTCAGCACCACAAGGGCCCAATTTAATTGTGGGTAGCAGAGGAAGTGACTGAAAACCAGCAGAGAGCAAAGCAAGTGTTGTTGTTCTGACTCGAATTCCACCCCCACATACAGCATCAAAAAAACACCTGCCCAGGTGAACATCTGGGCTCTGCCACTCACTATGAGACAAATGTGCTGAGAAAAATAGTGGCCCAAATGAAAGAACAGATCAAAGCTCTAGAAAAAATACAACTAACCAAAGAAGAGATAGCCAACCTATCAGATGCACAGTTCAAAACACTGGTAATCAGGCTGCTGACAGAATTGGTTGAATTTGATAGCAAACTAGATGAAAAAATGAAGGCTACACTAAGTGAAATGAAGGAAAATGCACAGGGAACCAATAGTGATGGGAAGAAAACTGGGACTCAAATCAATGAAGTGGACCAGAAGGAAGAAAGAACCAAACAGAAGAGAATAAAGAAACAAGAATTCAAAAACATGAGGAGAGGCTTAGGAACATCTTTCAGATGTTCCAACATCCAAATTATAAAGGTAACAGAAGAAGAAGAGGAAGAGCAACAAGTGGAAAACTTACTTGAACAAATAATAAAGGAGAACTTCCCCAATATGGCAAAGGAAATAGATTTCCAGGAAATCCAGGAAGCTCAGAGAGTCCCAAAGAAGTTGGACCTAAGGAAGAACACACCAAGGCACATCATAATTACATTAGCCAACATTAAAATCAAGGAGAGAATCCTAGAAGCAGCAAGAGATAAGCGGACAGTCACCAACAAAGGAGTTCCCATCAGACTGTCAGTGGATTTCTCAAAAGAGACCTTATAGGCAAGAAGGGGTTGGAAACAAGTATTCCAAGTCATGAAATCCAAAGACCTACATCCAAGATTGCTCTATCCAGCAAAGTTTTCATTTAGAATGGAAGGGCAGATAAAGTGCTCCTCAGATAAGGTCAAGTTCAAGGAGTTCATCATCACCAAATTCTTATTATATGAAATATTAGAGGGACTTATCTAAGAAAAAGAAGATAAAAAATATGTATAGTAAAATGTCAGCAAACTCACAATTACTAACAGCCACACCTAAAATAAAGACAAACTAAGGAAATAACTAGAACAGGAACAGAATCACAGAAATGGAGATCACATAGAGGGTTAGCAACAGGGGAGTTGGAGGGAGAGAGGGGGGTAAATGTACAGAGAGTAAGTAGCATAGATGGTAGGTAGAAAATAGACAGGGGAAGGGCAAGAATAGTATGGGAAATGTAGAAGCTAAAGAACTTATAAGTATGACACATGGACATAAACTAAAGGGGGGAATTTGGGTGGGAGAGGGTGTGCAGAGTAGAGGGGAGTGAAGCAGGGGAAATGGGACAACTGTAATAGCTTAATCAATAAAATATATTTTTTAAAAAGGTAACCACATTTACATTGCCTTGACCTTTTACAAAAGCATTTTTCGGGAGTTTTGTCCCGGTTTTCAACCCCTTCAACCTTTACAACTGAATGTCTTCCCCACTCTCTGGCTGATACACTAATCATTTTCATTCATCTTTTCCAAACTAATAGATTTTTATTTTATTACTATTTTTCTTATTCTACATTCTCATTTTTGGTTACATGCATTTATTACAAATGTAATTGTTTACCATATGCATTTATTCTTTTTCAAATTGTTTCTTAATATTCTTCATGTTTTGACTGAGTTGTAATTTTTTTTTTATTTTAGAGAGAGGGGAAGGGAGGGAGAAAGAGAGGGAGAGAAACATCAATGGGTGGTTGTTTCTCATGTGTCCTGTACCTGGAACCTGACCAGCAACCCAGGAATTTGCCCTGCTGGGAATTAAACCAGGAAGCCTTTACTTCCCAGACCATTGCTCAATCCACTGAGTGACACCAGCCAGAGCTGAGGTATAAATATTTTAGATATTGAATTTAAGAAGGAAAAATAAATCACCAGAAAAATAAAGCACTTCCCAGACCAGAAAAAGCTAAAGGAGTTTCTCATCACCAAACCAGTATCATAAGAAATGTTAAAGGGTCTTCCTTAAGAACAACAAGAAGAATAAAATAAAAATGCGCATAATGAAATGGCAATAAATACATGTCAATCAAGATTTATCGTAAATGAAAATGGATTAATTGCTCTAAGTCGGAAAACAAGACCCTCACCTGTGCTGTCTACAGGAGACTCAGTCTAAAGGACAGACACACACACACAGACTGGAAGTGAAGGAATGTAAAAGAAAATTTCACAATAACTTTTTGTTCCAGCGTGATGAAGCTATTTTCTATGGGACGTCGTGCTTAAATAGTCATTCCAGCCTCCCCTTGGGACTTTAAGGATCCCTGCCTGTTGTTTCTGTAACCCACATCAGTGACAAAAGAGTCGAGAAGGATTCCCCACATTTGTACTGTGCCAACAAAAAGATGGGGTTATATCAGCAGAGACGGGGAAGACATAGGCAAGAGCATGTGTGGGGGAAGGGTGGGCATTTCAACCATTCAGCTGAAGAGAAGGTCAAGGTGAGACATCTGTTAGAAACACCAGTGAGGTGTCAAGTTGGACAGATGAGTGTGGAGACCTTGAGGAGAAATGTCTGGGCTGGAGTCATAGACTTGGAGGTGATGCTACAAGAATGACATTGGGAACGGTGAGTGGTGATATGGCCACCAAGAAAGCAAGGACTGTGGAAGAGGACAGAACAAGGACTGGACACCGTCCCAACAGTGGGGATGTTCATCCTGGTGACTCACCCAGGTTGGTGACAGTTAGGTCTCCCCATCATACAGTCACAATTTACTATTTGTCATTCATCAGTAATTTACAGGGAGATGTTCTGAGATTGCCCTGCTGTGCCCTTCACCACTTCTACACTCACCTTCCTTAGTCCCTCTCATAACTTCCACCCAAGTCAGTGAAAATATGATGGTTGTCCTGTGTCAGCCCTGGTCTTTTCTTAGTAGGATGTGAAGTACAGCACAGGGAAAGTAGGCAGTAATATTGCTGTGAGTAAATATGGTGTCAGATGGGTCCTAGGTTTATCACAAAGAGGATTTAATAAGCTGTATAAATGTCTAGTCATGGGGTTTTACATATGAAAATAGTATAATATTATATGGCAACTGCAATTAAAGTTAAAGTAATTGAAGTCATGGACACAGACAACAGTGCAATAATTTCAGGGGGTGAGCTTGAGGTTTGGAGGTGGGAGATTGTATTCAGGGACTATATGCTGGTGGAAAAAAATTAAGAAAAAAAAACCAAACAGTTATTTTAATTTAGCCCTGTCTGATGTGCCTCGGTGGATGGAGTGCTGGCCTGCAAACCAAACGGTCACTAGTTTGATTCCCAGTCAGGGCATATTCCTGAGTTGGGAGCCAGGTCCTAGGTAGGGGGCACATGAAAGGCAACTACACACTAATGTTTCTCTCCCTCTCTTTCTCCCTCCCCTTCCCTCTCTCTAAAAATAAATAAAAAATATATCACCTTAAAGTGTTTCTTAGTTTTTTTAATTATTTTAAGTTATAAAAAGTCATTACTAGGATATCCAACATTCTGACAGTCATTTTCAGGAGAAATTCCAGTATTTTGGGAACCCAGTAACTGGCCTGGGCTCCTGCTCCCACCCCACTGGCCACGGTTTCGTGGCTACTTCCGACCTCATCTCCATCAGCAGGGACAACAGGCCTGTGGAGTTCGGGTGCAGGCAGGTCCCACTGCTGGGCCTGGGCCTGGGTTTCCACAGTCTGTCGAGTCTGTTTGGCCACGGAGCTCAGGCCTCATCATCCTTCTGTGCCGCTTCCCACCCTGTTTCTGCTTCTGGAACAGCATTCGGTCCCTCTGCAGGACCCACTTTAGGTAAAGGGTCTTTTCTAATGAATGACCTTCTTCACTGACTGCAAGTTCAGCTTGTCCCAGAACACCAAGGCCAGCCCCTAACCCTCCAAGTCCCCCCTTCTATTTCCTTTAGAGGGCGGGTGGGGGTGGGTCCACCAGGGATGTTGTCGCCATTGGGCAGCCAGGGCCAGGGAGCAGCTGGGGTGCACTGAATGGACCCAGACATTTGACTTTCCCATCTACAGTTCAATGGGCCTTGGTAACCCCCAAATGACCTAGAGGTTGGCTAGTCCATAGGGCCTCCCACGAGCGTCCAGGATGCAATGAGCTGGGGTATCTACAGACAGACCTGCCTGGGGGTGTAGAGGATGGTGCCTCTGCCAACAGGAATGACAACAGTTTTTGAAATGGGGACCTGACGACATTCCTCCTGTTTCACAGACATGCAGCCATAAGACTGTGGCTGCTGAGCCTCTTTTCTCCCTCCATAGCTGTCAGTTAAAACTGTAACAGATAAACTTCCACTGATTTAATAGAACATTCTTGGGTCTGGATAATGAGTCAGTTCAATGCCACCTCCCTAGCTTCAGTGTCAACAAAGTGACTTCCTTTCTCTTCCATGGTGGCAGCTTTAGAATGCCCCGGAATTTTGATAATGGCCCATTGTTTGGGGTCCTGTGTGGCATCTAATAAATCTGCAGCCAGTTTTCCATTTCTTTGTGCACAGCCCTGACGAAGTGAGGAGGCCTCACCCACTTCCCCATCATCCCACAGTCCCGGATGCACCAAGCACACAGGACTCTCAGTGTAAACATCGGTGACTAGGTCTTCGTCCAGGGGACAATTCCGAGTTAGAGCAGTCAGTTCAGCGTGCTGGGCAGATTTCACTTCCAGTCAATGAGCATTCTCAGTTATGTCCACTACGGAAGTTACTGCATGTCCCCCTCAGTGATGTCCCTGGTCATCTCTCAGATAAGATCCCTCTGTATCCAAATTAAAGCAGCAGTATCATAGGAGTTTCCTATAAATCACTCCTAGGAACCAGTAGGTGGTCAGTCAGCACCACACAGCTGTCCTCATGGTGTAAAGGGGGTAACAGTTGCAGGATTAAGGTGGTCACACTGAATTAAAGTGATATCGGGGGCAGAGAGCATGACACTTCCTAAGAAGCCAAACAACTCTCAGAGTCATGTTGAGTGTGATGAGAGGTCACTAAAGTGTCACCAGAATGAAGAACATAAATGGTTAAATGTAGGTCTTGAACCCTTTCCTTTCTAAGCAGCAAAGAGGAAAAGGCAGGGAGCTCTCCCAGTGGGAGGACCAGTCAAAGTTCCCGGGTAAGAAAGTCCTGACTCTGTACCGTATGCCATTGGCTGAACAAACTCCGCAACAGCCAATCAGCGCCACGGTAGTTCCGGGTATATATATACACAGCCTTCCGGAGAAGCAGAAGTCAGTTCCCCGTGACTCCCGATTTCTGGTTATGTTGCGGATCTTCATCCTGCTGCTCTCTGGAACCCTGACCCTGACCGAGACCTGGGCCGGTGAGTGCGGGGTCGGGAGGGAACGGCCTCTGCGGGGCCGGAGCGAGGGGACCCGGCGGGGTCGCAGGACCCGGGGACAGCGATTACCCAGCACCTCCGCCCAGACCTTCACCCCCCCCTCCCTCCCCGCCCCCCCCAACTGGGCGGTTTTCCTTCTCCGCGCCCCGCCCCCAGCCCCCGGCCCTACCCGCCACGCGGTGAACCAAGGACCCGCGTCCTCCCCGCTCCCAGGCCCCCACAGCCTGAGCTATTTCCACGCCGCCGTATACGAACCGGGCCGCGGAAAGAACCGGTACATCGTCGTCGGCTACGTGGACGACATAGAGATCATGAGGTTCCACAGCGACGCCGCAAACCCGAAGATGGAGCCGCGGGTGCCGTGGGTGGAGCAGGCGTGGGTGCAGCAGGAGGACCCAGATTTTTGGGAGGAACAGACGGTGGAAATCAAGCAAGATCCGCGGATGAGCAGAGTGAACCTGAACCAGCTGCGCGCCCACTACAATCAGAGCGAGGACGGTGAGCAGGCGCGCCCGGGTCCTGGTACAGCCCCGTCCCCACAGACGGGCCGGGGTCGCCCCGGGTCTCTCTGTCTGTGCAACACCCCCAGGCTGCGGCGTGGAAATGGTGGGGCTCAGTCGTGCAGTGATGACCACAGGGGTGGGCGGGGTCAGGGTCTCACACCCTCCAGGAAATGACCGGCTGCGTGGTGGGGTCAGACGGCCGCTTCCTCCGCGGGCACAGCCAGTTCGCCTACCAGGGCACCGACTGTGTCCACCTGAATGAGGACCTGTGCTCCTGGACCACAGCCTCCAAAGTGGACCAGGTCACCGGGAGCACCTTGGTGCAGGTCCCTGATGCAGAGGGCAGGAGGTTCTTCCTGGAGGACACGTGTGTGCGCCGGCTCCAGCTGCTCCTGAAGAAGGGGAAGGACACTCTGCAAAGAGCAGGTACCTGGGTGTGGGCCTCCTGAGGAGGGGGGATCTGTAGTCTGGGGCAGCTCCTACAAGGGGAGAAGGAGATGGGGCAGTGTCAGAATGTCCCTCCAGCTCCAGAGAGGGAAGAGGCCCCCAGGTTTCCTCATTCTGTGACTAACCTGCAGGCCCAACTTTCTCTGAAGGACAGTAAGGGACCCTACCTCTCCCTGAAACACCCACAGTGGGACCCTCATACCCTGCAGCACCTGGGGCACCAGGACACTCTCCCTGGTGCCGGGGCTGAGATCTTCTCTGGAGGCCTGACTCTGGGTTTTCTGAGTCATCAGCCTCCACCTGAGTCTGTGTTTCCTCTTAGAGACCTGGAGATTCCTACCCCAGGCTCTCACCCTGATTCTGAAACTTTCTAGGAAACAGGAGATTGATTATTCCAGACACCTCTGTCTAGCCTGGTGTCTGGGTGGTGCACCTCCTTCCCCCACCCCAGTGGTCCTGTCCACTCTCAGGGTGGTCACATGAGCACTGCTGGAGTGTCCCATAACCATGCAAAGTTCCTGAATTTTCTCACCCTCCCCTCAGACCCTCCAAAGACACACATTACCCACCACCCCATCTCTGACCATGAGGTCACCCTGAAGTGCTGGGCCCTGGGCTTCTACCCTGCTGACATCACCCTGACCTGGCAGCGTGATGGGGAGGACCTGACCCAGGACATGGAGCTGGTGGAGACCAGGCCTGCAGGGGACAAGACCTTCCAAAAATGGGCAGCTGTGGCTGTGCCCCCTGGAGAGGAACAGAGATACACATGCCATGTGCAGCACCAGGGGCTGCCTGAGCCCCGGACCCTGAGATGGGGTGAGGAGAAGGTGTGGGCACAGAGCCTCTCTCTCCTCAGGGTGTCCCTGAGCAGGGTCAGGACTCAGGCCTGAGGTTGGTCTCTCACCTTCCCCTTGCAGACCCCCCTCCTCAGACCATCATCACCATCATGGGCATAGTGGTCATCACTGCTGCCCTGGGTCTCCCTGGAGCTGTGGCTGCTGCAGCTGTGATGTGGAGGAGGAAGTGCTCAGGTGGGCAAGGGGTGGGGCTGAGTTCCCTGTGCCCCTGGGGGGTCAAGCCCAGGTGGAAGTGTGCTCTGCCTGGTTAATGGGCATCGTGTCCCCACACGGATGCTTGTACATCTAGGGCCAGTTTTGTAACACTGACTCTTTAGTGAGGCCCGTGGGAAAGTGAGGGACACATTTATCACCTGATAATTCTAGTGGTGGGGACTGATTCCCAGCTGTCACACATCATAGCAGAAGGTTGCTGCTGAAGACAGGCATCCAAACAGGCAGTTGGTCCAGTCCCCACACATGTACAATTTCCTGATCCCACCCTGGGTGTTCAGTCACAGTTCTGGAAACTTTCCTGTGCTTCAGGAGTGTGGGGCTCCTTTAGGGTCACAGGGCCCAGCCTTCCCCTGACTTCTCACAGAACATTTTCTTCCCACAGATAGAGGCAGGGAGAGCTACTCTCAGGCTGCCTGTAAGTCTGGGTGTAGGGGAGGTGACATTGGAACCCTTGGGAGAGTGTGGGCTGGAGTCTGTGAGGGGGGCCCCCCACCCCGTAACTCTGCTGTGTGTCTTCCCCAGGCAATGACAGTGCCCAGGGCTCTGATGTGTCTCTCACAGCTAATAATGGTAAGACTGAGGGAAGAAAGTGGGGGACATTGGGTCCTAGGATCAGAAATGGGTTTGGGGATCCTCAGAGTGGGACATTCTGAGCATGAGGTGGCTGTGGGGGAATGTGACACTTCTGAGACTGACCTGAGTTTGTTCATGACAACTTTCTTTCCCACTGTGACAGAGCTGGGTTGTCCAGACTCGGTGCTACAACAGTCACTGCAGCCTCCCCTTGGGACGTTAAGGATCCCTAACTGCTATTTCTACAACGAGCATCTGAATTCGTCTGTGTTATCAGCTCATGTGAGGGACTGCTACCCAGGCCACATTTCACCCAGGGACCTGTGTCCTCTCTCCTGGGGCCTGTCCTGTCCTAGCAGAGCTGGGGGAGCTTGTCCCCATCACGGTGCTCACGTCCATTCCTTTTTGTTTTAATGTCCTGTTTCCCTGTTGGAAATCAGAATCTGTGTATGAATTGTGTTTTTAGATTCTTCCTAGAAAGGGTCAGTGGGTTAAATGAAGGAGAAGAACCTACAATGGGAGAGAAGACATCAGTGACCAAGAACCTGGGAACCTTCCAGAATCTGGGCGCTGAGTCTGTTGCAGGTGGGGGCATGGGCGGCTGGGAGGAGCAGGGTGCAGCCCAGTCAGGCTCCATGTGTTAACTGGCTCCGACATGGTCATTCCTCCTCTGGGTCATCTTTGTTGTTCCTCAGTCTTGGCCGCTTCAGGAGAACCTTGTCCCATCAGGACCTGTGATCCCAGGGACAAGAGTGCCACCTTGTGGTGGCTCCAGGACTGTGCTCAGTGAGGGCCTCATGAGGCCGCGTCAGCCTGGGCTGCAGCTGGGTCTGTCCTGCAGCCCCTGTGTCTTGGATATTTGTTGTTTCTTTTTCTTTTTTCCTTTCTTTTGTATATATCGCACCTATCCTTGTTTTGTAAAAGTTAAATGATTGTGGTGTTTTTAATTAAATGATTTTGTGTGTGTGTTTCTTTTTTTATTAAATATGTTGTGGTTGGAGCATCATCCTAATATGCCAAGGTTGCAGGGTTGATCCCAGGTCAGGGGCCCTGTGAAAACCCACCAATGAACAAAGGAAAGGGTGGGACCATCCATCAAATTTTCTCTCTCTCCCTCCCTCCCCTTATCTCCCTCCATCTCTTTTTATTTTTTTTTTAAATATTTTATTTATTTATTTTCAGAGAGAGGGGAAGGGAAGGAGAAAGAGAGGGAGAGAAACATCAATGTGTGGTTGCCTCTCATGTGTCCCCCACTGGGAACTGGCCCGCAACCCAGGCATGTGCCCTGACTGAGTATCGAACCTCGATCGCATAGTTCACAGGCCTGCGCTCAATTAACTGAGCCACACCAGCCAGGGCCCTCCGTCTCTTTTTAAAATCAATCAATGAATCGATTTTTGAAGAAAATAGCAGCCCCACTCAGGATGGTGGTAGAAGGTGGGGCCCTGTCAGGTGCTCAGACCGGGAGGGTGGGGCTTTCTTTGGTGCATAGGCTGAGAAATGGCTGCAGAGAGAGCCCTGGCCCTTCCCCATGGGAGGTCCCCGTCCCCCGCCCTGACTGTGTCCCCCTGTCCAGGGCCCCTTCTCGAGCCCCATGTCCCTCCGCTCAGCTGTTGGCACCGTCTCCTTCCCAGCGGTGAGAGCACCAGCCCGGCAGCTGGGTGTCCCAGTGCGTCCCTGCTGTCCCCAGGGCATGGGGGTCACGCTGAGTCACAGCGCTGCTAAGTCCCAGGGGAGACACGGAGGCTGGTGGAGCACAAGGGCCCAGACACGGGGGACGGGGCCTCTGACACTGTTGTAGGACAGCAGGGCTGTGCCCAGAGTCCTCTGTGTCCCTTGTCTCCAGGAACCGCTGGCTTCCACGTGTCTGAGTCGAGGGGAGTGGTCTGTCCAGGGAGTGGAAGGGGACCCATAGGTGCCCTGTTTACCCATTTCCCTGATATCAGGAACCTTTCCCCCACTGCACTGGGTCATGATTACATTCTTCTGTCTCATTTCTCCTAGTGGCCCATGTCCCACATGACTGTGCCAGAGTCGCAGAGCCAGGGTCCTACTCTTGCTCTACATTCTGTCTCCACACTCTAATTCTGATGTAGTGGAGATCTTGAAACCCATGCAGGATCATGAACTTGACTGTGGTCTGGATAGCTAAGGTACACTGCCCCTTGAGGTCCTCCAAAGCTCTCAGCCTAGCAGCCTCCCATCACAGAACATTCTGGAACACTGCAACAGTTTGCTTGCATGCACTGTGAAGTCATAGTGAGGCAGGATAGCAAGAAGCTAGGAAAACTGGGCAACAGAATGGGGAAACTGAGGCAAGAAAATTAAAGAAGGCAGAATAGTCTGAACAATTACAGCCAGCTGATGACTTGCAAGACCTTATCTCCCCTAACCAAGGACACTTGAGAACAAATTCTTTGTATGTCTTCTCTTTAACAGGAGAATACATAGCATAAATCAGCCTGGTTGGAATATACACAGCAGAGACCCAGTTCATGCCATTTGTGCCAGATGAACCCAAGGCCAGATGAAGCCAGGGAAACAGAACAAAAAAAAAAAAAACCCGTTAGAGCCATACAGACCTAAGATAAAAGTAAAACACTGGAGCTGACCAGAGAATAATCCCAAACCAACTATGTGCTCATTTTGATGCATCAGCATGTTAAAAACACCCCTGAAAAACTCATGAGCATTCTGCTGAAACCCTGCCCTAAGATTCTCTCCTACAAAAGTGAGATGAAATCACTCCAGACAGAGAGACCTGGGGCAGCTCGCTCTAGAGCACACCCACAGCCCGGTTTCAGACATGAACTTCCCTCTCTCCTTCTGAGCTCTAAGGTGCCCTTGGGATTTTCAGCCAGGGGAGCAGTGGGCAGTGGCAGCTTCTCCCTGGCCTATCCCCCACCCTGTCCCAAGGCCCCCATTTGTCCCTGGCTCTCCAGTGAGCTGACAGCTGCCATGCCTTTGCTCACTTCTGTCTCTGTGAGTTTACTTCCCAGTGAGCTGACAGAAGCCCTGTCTAGGCTTTCCCCAGTTACTTCTTCTCCCCTAAGTCTTTCCTTAGTGTGACTGTCCCCAGACTTAATAAACATTTCAAAATCCCCTGGACATGGGTTATGAAATCTCCAGAGGAAGTCAAGCATCCACACGCCACTCACTACACACCACACACCACAGGCTGTTCTGAAGCAGAACTGCTCAGGCCCAGGCCCATCCAGCACCAACAGCTGCCAAGGGACCCAGTGAGAGTGAGTCATCAAGGCTCTGAGAGAAAACGCCCTGTCTTCACTGAACCTCCACTACCCAGAACCCGGCTGAGTCTCCTTTCCTCTGTCCCCCACAAGGATCCCACAGCAAGGGCCCAATGGGTTTGACCCTCTATGTAGATCCCATTGTGTCACTGCCTGAGACACATTAAGCAATCGTCTGTGCATAGTTACAATTGTTCTGTTGATTGGAGCCTTGAGAGACACCCCATCCTTTTCCTTTTACAAAACCACAACACAAGAAACCTCCTTAAATATATATTTCTGAAGTATATGTGACTAACTCTTAGGACAAATTCCTAAAAGAGCAATTTCTATGTCAAAATGTGAGCACATTGAAATTGCTGAAACCTTTTGCAAAAGCATCCTTCAGGAGTTTTGTCCCGGTTTTCAATCCCTTCCTTCAACCTTTATACAGAATGAGTTCCCCACCCTTCGGCGGAAATACTCATCACTTTCTTTCATTTTTCCAAACTGAGAGATTTTTAATTTATTCCTATTTTTCTCAATCCACATTTTGATTTTTGCATGCATACGTTTATTCAAAATATAATTGTTTAACATTTGCATTTCTTCTTTTCCAAATTGTTTCTTAATATTCCTTATGTCTTGAGTGAGTTGTAAGTATTTTTAAAGATTGAATTTTAGAAGGAAGGAAAAGCAGCCCCAACATCAGAACGGGTCTGACACCTGGTGCTCGCTGCTAGGGCGGGTCTTCTCCAGTTGGACACCCGTGGTCTCACAGAACATCAGCATCGGAGAAGGACACCCCGAGACCACGGCGACGTGAGACAGACCAACACCACGCTGCATGTTGTCTCAGCACAGACAGTAACGAGACCCGGTGCAGTTCACACGCTACCAAGCAGCCACTGGACCCGAGAACAGAAGGGAAGGCAACATCTTTCTTATCACCCCTCACCCTCGCTCCCGTCTGCCAAGTCCCGAGGTATTTCCTGAGATGCTCAGTCACCGACTTGCCCCCATGACCTCACGAAGTCAATCTAGAGGGTCCCCTGCACCCACAGACCCTCCCAAGATCGCCGTCCAGAGCCCACATCTGTATTTCCCCGTCCCTCAAAGGTGCCCCCGACCTGGGGTGCGCCCCCCTCGCAGCAGCGACACACACAGCCAGCTGTCTGCTTCAGGCGCCCCTCAGAGCCTTTGGCAGAAGAAAACGAACACACATTCCCTGTCAACATTTTTAAGCGTCTTCGAGTTTGGTTGTGGGCGTGAGAGTGTGTCGCCAGAGCTTGTGGTTGACATAGGAAAGTGTAATATTTTCCTTCACGGTTTTTCATCTTTGGGTCTTGCCTAAAGAATTTTTCATTCCATTATTGTTAAAACTTAAGATGTATTTTCATATTGGGGAGAAGGGTCCAAGGGTAAAAAGCAACAGAATTGTTAGAGTTTGGGGAAAACATGGAAAAGACAAGTAGGACATCTAAGGTGGAACAACAACATTTACACCTTCTGCTTTACAACTTTTTAAAGTATGTACGGCACCCACATGTGTTTGTTGTGTGTTGTGTTCAATAAATAGTTTCTCTTGAATTAAAGCCTCACATGCCTGCTTATGTTCTCCAGGTTCACAGAAACGACCCCAAGGGTCCCAAAGTGATGTGCACAAGGACGAGCTCCAGTGACGAGCATTTTCGATCACTTAGAATGTTAAAGCATTTCATCACATTTTGGTTAATGTCTGCACACTCTAGTTGTTAAGTGCATAGTAAATAATTTTTCTTGAACATACTGTATTTTGAAGATATATCTAAACCCTCGCAGACAAATGAGAAACCATGACTTCCATGGGACAATAATTTTAAGATACGTCAAAGTATGAGTCACGCAGTGTCTTTTAGAGGGGTGGTGGGCAGAGACTAAAAACTACAAACATTCTGGAGAAGCACTGTCTCATGTGGCAGCTACAGGACACTTAGGGCTTTTAAATTCAAAGTAAGTAAAATAAAAAGTTCAACTGCTCCACACACAGGTCGCACTTCCAGTGCCCAACGGCCACCTGCAGCCAGTGGCTGCCATGCTGGACATGCTGACTCAGAACAATCCCTTGTTCCAGAACATTCTATTGGACAGAACTGAGCTTCATGTTGTCTGGGCCTCCAGTCACAGCACTAGACCCATGAAAAATAAAAGGGACAATATCATTTCCCTGACAGAGGACACCAGATTTCTGTGGGATGTGAATTCATATTAAGCTGCTGTATTACAAACACAACCAGGTTACCTGTGGGTCTGGTGCCTTCAGACACACACTGTTCCCAGTTCCAAAGGGGAAACACCTGTCCCCCCCACCTGCCTTCCCAGACTGAGGACACTCTCTGACATCTCATTTCCAGGGGCTGAGCTTTATTCTAGAAGAACCCAGGGCAATGCCTTCAGCAGAGTGTGCGGGAAGCAGGGATCCCACCTCAGGGAGAGGAGTTCCAGGAGTGAGAAGGGTGCAAAGTCAGGACCAGTGGGGAGAGGCCCCCTGGTTTATCCAGAATAACCATTCTCAAAGTGTGCTCTGTGGAACCCTTGAAGTTTCTAAGATCCTTTCATGAGATCTCTGAGGCAAAACTATTTTCATAGGATTAAGGACATCCTTTGCCTTTTCACTGTACCCACATTTACACCCATGCAAACTTACAAGAATGGAGGCTGGGACACCCAACTGTAGTAGCA